GTGTTTGAGCGCCAGTGGTCGCAAGAAGAAGCCAGGACTGGATGGGCGCACCTACAGTGAGCTGCTGAAGCGTGTGTGCAGGGACGGCGGGGCACCCGAGGAGGTAGTGGCACCGCTTCTGCGCAAGATCCAGTGCCGGGACCACGAGGCTGTGCCACTGGGCATCTTCCGGGCCGGCATGCTGTCGTGCTTCGTGCTGCTGGAGTTCGTGGCGCGAGCCAGCGCCCTCTTTCAGCTTCTGGAGGACCCAGGCCTGGCAGTGGCCGATAGGCGAGTGGGCCAGGCCGTACTGGACACGCTCGAGGGCGCGCTGGGCACAGGAGACCTGGCGGCAACGCCCACACACTACCTAGAGGCCGGTTCCCGCCTGGGCCCCGACAGTCTGGCACGTGCCCTGGACAGGGCAGCAACTGGACGGCGGCCCAGCGTGCCCATGGCCCGAGAGGAGTTCCTGGAGAAGGCTGCAGCCCTCTTCATTGCCAAGGTCAAGCCTGTGGGTTGAGCCCAGAATGTATACAGGCCCTGCCACCTCGCAGGGAAGGCGAGGACTGGGGACCTGCAAACTGGTGTCCCGGCATCCTGTACAGGACCCTCGCCCAGGGAGGGGACCAGCATCTACAGTTCAGTCCCCTCTGTTTTGGCCTGTGTTCCATAGTCACAGAAATAAAATCTGAAAAGACCCGGCCTTGCTAGTCGCCTGTGTGCAACTCCTCGACCAAGCACTGCCATCCCCCAAGGTCCCTCCAGACTACCAAAGATGAAGGGATCATTGGGAGGATTTCTCAGGGTCCTCCCATTTCTGCCGATGTCAGGACTTTTGGCAGGCTTTCTTAGACTGACAGCCCCCCACTCACGACACAGACTTACTGTTAATTATGAACGCTCATCCTTAGCTTGGGCTTGTTTCTAGTTAGCTCTTCCTTTAACTTAGATTAGCCCATTCCTATTCATCTAGGAGCCGCCCGAAGCTTGTTTTCCTTATCTGCTACCGTCTGACTGGCTCCCCTTTTCTCTCTGCCTGCCAGCCACACCTAACCCTCCTCTGCCTAAGCTATTGGCCATTCAGCTTTTTATTAGAACAATCAGGTGCCTTAGGCAGACAAGGTAAAACATCAACACATCTTTAAGCAGCTGAACAATTATTCTGCAACACAAAGATGTGAAGTATCTTTCCATAGTTAAACAAATATTCTAGCAGCAAGGACTCTCCACCCTTATGGTCCTCACAGGAGGATTGTAGGCGGGTCTCCACCCCTGACCACGCCCCCAGGCCGTGACTGGTGCGGTGCCAGGAGGTGAAAAAGGGGGCGGGCCCTTGCTCAGGAAGTTATGGGTTGAGATGCATGGGCCTCTGCTCATTGCCAGTCACCCCCAACCTCCACCCGTCCCAAGCATCCACACTCTGTTCAGTGCACCCTGCCCCAACCCCAGGGACTTCATCACAGTAGAGGAACCGAATCCTGGAGGATAGCCTTCCTGACCTAGCAGAGGACATGTGGTTCTCATGCCTGTCACTCCTGTCTCCTACCTGCCTAGTGAGCTCCCAGGGGAATGGAGTGAGGGCACTGAGGAAGTTTCTGGATCTCTCATTTAGTCAGTGTTGATTGACTTGCGTCCCAGAAATGCTGAGAGATGGAGCAGGTCCAGCCTGTCTCCTGTCAGTCATGGGATTCAGAGAGCGTCAATGCGGCTGGGCAAGGTGAGGCAGGAGTCCACAAGTTCAAGCCAGCCTAGGCAACTTAGTGAGACCTCTCAAAATACAAAGGGCGGGTGAGGTGGCACTTGCCACCAAAACTGACCTGAGTTCTATTGGTGCAAGAACAGCTCTGATTCCAGCAAGCTGTCCTCTGACTGCCACACACACACATCCAAAAAAAAAAGAAAACTCCAAGAGAGCTGAGGGCCTGGCTAAGGAATAGAGCCCCTGCCTAGAATCTCCCAATGAGGTACTGACTGCATAGTCAGGGTGGAGCCCCTGTTCAGAACTCCTTAGCTACAGAGCAAGTTCAAGGCCAGCCTGGGCTACCTAAAGCAGGGAAACACAAAGGAGCTGACATCAGACTGCGTCAGGCTGAGTTCAGCAATGTGGAACCGACTCACACTGTAATGGTGTGCCAGCCTGATCTTGCATGCATGAAGAAGCCAGAGGCCAGCACCCACATTCCTCAAAGGCTCCTCCTCCTATTCCTGACATAGGGGTTCTCATTTCCACTAGGCTGGCTGGCCAGTGAGTCCTAGGGATCCTCCTGCCTCTGCTGGGGTTACAGACCTGTGCCACCACACCTGACTCTTACCAGATGCCAAAGATCCGAACTCAGATTCTCATGCTGAGCCTTCGCCTTGGCTCCATGACTCATTTTTTCTTTTTTTGTTTCTTGTTTTGTTTCTCTGTGTAGACCTGGATGTCCTGGAACTCACTCTGTAGTCCAGTCTGGTTTCAAACTCACAGAGATCCGCCTGCCTCTGCCTCCCAAGTGCTGGGGATTCAAATGTGCACCACCACCGCCCAGCTTTCATCCTGAAAGACCCCTGAGTGTGGGGAGACTCTCACTCAAGTCTGGGGATAACACAACCCCCCCCAGTAACTCACGAGAGACCGTCCTTGCTGCAATCACGCGAGGTTTATTCAACAAGGACAAGACAGGAACCAGTGCACTGGGGAGTGCGTAACCCATGCAGGGAAGGAGTTCTACCCCAGTAACTGGGAGAAAGGGTTTTTAAGGGAAGAAACCACAGACCAGTAATCCAAAGGGGTAGGGAGGGCGTCATAGAAAATTCCGAAAATACCAATGATAATCACAAGGGGGCAACTCCCTGTTTCTCAAGATTACAATCTAACTTAAAGATTACAATCTAACTTTATCTTCAGCTAGTTTGTGAAACTGAACTGGCTAATTCTAGATTTCTGATTCTTCTCTCCCAATTTAGATTTTTGGCTCTATTTTTTCCTGCTGGGGGGGGGGTCTGGATTTATCCAGGTCTTTCAATCCCATGCTTCTTACAGATTAAAAAAAAACCTGGTTTTGACGGGACATATCATCCAAGGTAACCATGAATGTAAACTTGGTAGTTGACAAAAGGCCCAGCTCAAGTGACTCAACACAAACCAAAAGGAAAAAGACCCAGAAGTTCCCATGCACGAAGTCAGGATGGCTGGACCCCGGAGCCTGGTGGACACACTGGCAACCCAGAATTTTAAGAGGCTGGAACAAAAGAATCACACATTCTACAGAGTTAGTTAAAAGTCAGTCTCTGTACTATTGAGAAACCCTATCTCAAAAGTCAACAAATGCCCTGGGTGGCAGCGGCAGCACACGCCTTTAATCCCAGCACTTGGGAGGAAGAGGCAGGCAGATCTCTGTGAGTTCAAGGCCAGCCTGGTCTACAGAGGGAATTCCACTGGGGCTACACAAAGAAACCCTGTCTCCACCAAATAATAAACACAAAAGTCCCAGAAGCACACTGTCCTCAGCTTCTCCCTCCTGGGAGGTCTCAGCTTTCCACAACAGGGCAAGAGTGGTCCTGTTACCTGCCAAGCCCACTCTGAGGAAATGCCCAGGGCCAAGGCTTCTCATGAGCCACCCCTGCAGCTTGGGGTAGGGATCTGATTGTTCCTGGCTTTGAGGCCGGGACTGTCCTGATCAGATAGTCTCTGAGACTAGGGACTTGGGGTCATGACATCCATGTGTGAACACGTAGGATAGAAGTGAGGAGACCCCAGTCGCCAGAGGCCAACACCCAGCATTCAGGATGTCTAAGTGCCCAGATGCAGGCTCACTTAGAGCCATAGAGGGAGGGAGGGAGGGAGGGAGGGAGGGAGGGAGGGAGGGAGGGGAACCCTGTCCCTCTGTCCTTGAGGGCTTCCCAGTGTAGGCTGTGGGAGTGGCAATCCCAGGCACACTGAGAGGAAAGCCTGGGCTATTACTGTGAGCTGACAACTAGTGACACTAAGTCTGAGACCGGCAAGAGGAGCGGAGAACACCAGGAGCCCTCGCGAGAGCATAGCCCGAGAGGAGAGCCAAGGCTTGGCTCTGCTGCACGTGAAGTGTGGCCACATCAACCAGCCCCACCTTTGACACTGTTTCCCTGTCCCCAAACCGGTCTACCTGCTATCTCCAACCAGGACAGGATGATGGAGCACCAGTAGGTGTTGACGCAGGAATGCCCACAGGCAAGGTGAGTCACCTGACAACCCTGAGCAGGAACCACCCACCCCTAGAGGTTCACAAGTACACCAGGCAAGGTTTAACTACGTTGCCACCGCGAACTCTCGCGTGGAGTGTAGGTGTGGGCACGGGACAACCTCAGGGACTTTGCACGTCTGTTCCCACTACTATAACCTCCCACTGCGTTTCCACTGATTTCCGGTCTGTTTAAGCAGGACTAAGGTGTGGCCAAAGGTCAGCCTAGCATGAGAGTCCAGCGCCGGGATTCAGATTCCACCTCTTGAAAGCCAGGCCTGCGAGCCCCAAGTCGTCAATTCTTCGGCCCTCCTAAGCGAGCCCGCAGAGACCACAGCTTCACGTGTGTGTTAAGGGGGGGTAGGGGGTAACAAAGTGGATCCTACTCCGCCCCCATTCAAGCCACGCCCAATTACCCGCCCATAGCCACACCCCCAGGACGTCACAAAAAAAAAGGCCCCCCAAAGCTGCAGCTACAGGGCTGCACCGCGCAGCCCTGCCCTGCCCGCCACCCCGCACACAGGCATCCGCGGAGCTCTTCCGCCGGAGGCGACGGCGGCCTCCGGGGATTCGGAAACGCAAGGCGCCTGCGCGGCAGGGCGGGGAAAGAAGACTACAGTTCCCGGCGTGCCCCGCGGGCGGGCGCGCGGACACATACCGAACCCGGTGGAGGCGTCGCACAGGCGCATTCTAGACCCGGCAGTGGCGCGCAGGCGCATTTCCGACTCGGTGGCTGCGGTGCGCAGGCGCATTCGAGGACAGGGTGTGGCACGCAGGCGCATTCCAGGACCGAAGAAGGCACGCAGGCGCATTCGGGGCCCGGAGTCGGTGCGCAGGCGCATTTGGGGGGGGACCGGAATCGGTGCGCAGGCGCATCCGGGGCCCGGTGGCTGCGGCGCGCAGGCGCATTCGACGCTTTCGGCGCGGGCCGGGCCGGGCCGAAGCAAGCGCCGGGCGGGCAGCGGCGCCAGAGCGAGTGGAGCCTTCGGGGTCCCCGGGTGGCGGCGGCGGCGGTGCAGAGGAGGAAGGCGGCGGCTCTCCCCCTGCCGGCGCGCGACCCGGTCCGTCCCGCGAGCTTGCGCCGGTCCCGCGGCCCGGCCCGGCCCCGGGCCCCTCCGCCGCCGCCGCCGCCACCGTCATGGCCAGGCAGCTGGTGCCCAGTTCGCAGAAGGCGCTGCTGCTGGAGCTGAAGGGGCTGCAGGAGGAGCCGGTGGAGGGCTTCCGGGTGACGCTGGTGGACGAGGGCGACCTGTACAACTGGGAGGTAGCCATCTTCGGGCCCCCCAACACCTACTACGAGGGCGGCTACTTCAAGGTGAGACGAGCCTCAGTTTCCCCTTTGTACCCTCTCCCCCTCGGGTCGTCTCAGACCCTGAGTGAGTGCAAGGCGGGCCCTCCTTTCTTGTTGAGCACGTGCTGACCTAGCCCCCGGGTCTGGTCTCCCTGGACTGTCCGCCAGCAGAGGACCGGAGGCAACTAATGACTGGCCTGTCCCCAGGCTGTCCTGCACTCGACCAAGCATGTCCCCAAATTGTCCCGACCCCTCCCAGCATGCTCTAGTGAAGGGGCTCCCCAGGGACAACTGCGACTTTTTTGTCCCCAGGCAGGCCCCTTACAGGACACAGGAGATTTCGGAACCCCCTGCCGGCAAGCATGTTTTCCTCTAGGCTGTCCTCATCCTAGGACATAAAGAACCAGGGGCACTCAAGAGGCAGAGGCAGGAGGATCTCTGTGAGTTCGAGGCCAGGCTGGTCTTACAGAGCTAGTTCCAGGACAGATTCCAAAACTATGGAGAAACCCTGTCTCCCGGGGGCGGGGGGGAAGAGCCAGGGGCAGCTGCTGCCTGGCATCCCCAGGCAGTCCACCACCCTGGAACACAAACTCTCAGAGACAGCTGCTTGCTGGCATGTCCTCAGGCTGTTCCCCGCTCCAGGACACAGGACCAGGGGTAGCTGCTGGCCGGTGTGTCCCCAGGGAAGGGATGTACAGCCTGGACGCCACCTGCTCCAGTTCCAGCAGAGGCCCTGACAGGGCTTTGGCAGCCATGCCTACTTGGACAGCAACCATCTTTAGCCGTAGCCAGGCTTTCTGTAATACATTCCAAGAGGACAGTGCAGGCAGGGGCCTACCTACCCACCTCGATCCTCAGAGTCGCACCCTGGATTCCTGCCCAGGCCTCTGCCTCCCAGAGCTCTCTGCTGGCCCCGGGGCTGCCTTTCTCAGATTCCACAGAGCAGGTAGCTTCTTGGAGGCCTAGTTTTGCCTTGCAGGCAGTGTCATCTGCCTGGTGGCTTAAGGCTCAATGCACCCGATGTTGCCAAGTGTAGGGGTCCACATCAGTGCAGCTGGACCATCCTGCCTGCTGTGGACTGGAACTCTTGCAAACTCGATCTTGTTCAAGGGCCAAGAGGAGCACGGTGAGGACTAGGTGGATGCACAGATCCTAGCCAGCCCAGGTCCCAGGTGTAGGTCCTGTGTCCTCACCCTTCCTGGGCAGTAACTGGGACTGTGGTAGTCTACTCCGCCAGGGTAACTTGAGAGTCAGGGTTCTCAGGTGCAGCATATGGAGAATGGGAGATGTGAGGGTGCCCTTGTCTCCCACCCTGGACTGCGGTCTGGACTGGGAAGCCTCTGAGCTGTCCAGATGCTATTAATACCTCCTGGAGTCTCCACTGCATGGACACCTGAGCTGCTCCCCACCTGTAAAGAATGGTGGGTAGGGCCTCCTAGGCTCTCGTTATTCTTTTTTTTTTTTTTTTGGTTTTTCGAGACACGGTTTCTCTGTGGTTTTGGAGCCTGTCCTGGAACTAGCTCTTGTAGACCAGGCTGGTCTCGAACTCACAGAGATCCACCTGCCTCTGCCTCCCAAGTGCTGGGATTAAAGGCGTGCGCCACCACCGCCCGGCCTAGGCTCGCATTATTCTAAGGACAGCTTGGGAAGAGGCTCTGCAGGATGTCAATCAGATCTGCCAGCGTAGGTGCCTCCTATGTGGTGTGGGTGGTTGAGACATAGAGCCTCTCTGAGGGGAGCTGTTAGGAGCTTCCTCTGGACGGCCAGCCTGTCTTCGTGTTGAATGGGACTGTCCAGGAATGGGTGGGAGCCTTTCCGATGCTGAGCCTCCCTTTGCTCAGTTTTTTGTTTTTGGTTTTTTGAGACAGGGTTTCTGTGTAGCTTTGGTGCCTGTCCTGGAACTAGCTCTGTAGACCAGGCTGGTCTCGAACTCACAGAGATCCGCCTGTCTCTGCCTCCCGAGTGCTGGGATTAAAGGCGTGCGCCACCACTGCCCGGCCAGTTTGCTCATTTTTAAAAAGCATCTGGAGTCATAGAAGTGACAAGTTCTGTTCCCCTCTCGGCTGTCCTGAGGGGATCAGGGCTAGAAACTGCACACTAGGTTTGTGTTTGTCTGGTCCAGTTGGAAGGAGCGGTGGGGCAGAGCCTCCAGCTTGAAATACTGGCTAGCTCTGAGGTCACAGATCACTGTGCCCAGGGGACACTCCAGAGACTGCCCTAGGGGAGCCCCAAAACTAGGGTAAATGTCAGGCCTTTCTCCTCTACCAGACTAGAGTCTGCAGAGCAGTGGGGAGGGTGAGCCTGAGCCATAAACAGCTGCTCTGGCCAGGCGGGAAGCTCCCCTGAGCCTGGGCTGTGCTGGTGGGAGACCTACTGATGCGTTCCCTGGCTGGCCCACAGCGGCAGCTGTCGCTCTGTCTTTCCTCACCTGGATGCCAGGGCACAGAGACAGGCGACCTGTCACAGACTATTCATCCTCTGGGCACAGCGCCTAATGCAGGTGCTCAGTGGACTGCCATTGAACCAGTGACCCCCACTTTCTGACACCTGCAGGCTCGCCTCAAGTTCCCCATCGATTACCCATATTCCCCACCAGCCTTCCGGTTCCTCACCAAGATGTGGCACCCCAACATTTATGAGGTAAGTAAGTCACTCCCAGCACTACGGATGCGTGCCTCAGGTGCACCCCACCACACACACCTTCTGCCACCTTTGCGCTCACCCCACAGCTCATCTGATCCTGTTACCTTTGCAGACGGGGGACGTGTGCATCTCCATCCTCCATCCCCCAGTTGACGACCCTCAGAGTGGGGAGCTGCCCTCAGAGCGGTGGAACCCCACACAGAATGTCAGGTGAGAACTGCATGTGTACCCCGAGACACCCTGCATCCTGTCCTTCGTTGCTCCACCAGTCAGGGGTTCCCAGGGTCTCCGGGGAACTGAGCTTGTCCCACGGCCCCACAGGACCATCCTCCTGAGTGTGATCTCCCTGCTGAATGAGCCCAACACCTTCTCACCCGCCAATGTGGATGCCTCGGTGATGTACAGAAAGTGGAAGGAGAGCAAGGGAAAGGACCGGGAGTACACGGACATCATCCGGTGAGCGCCAGCGCCAGCCAGGACAGCTGCTGGGTCTCCTCACAGAGATGCTACTTGCTGTAGTCTGTGTGCCCCGCCCAGAGCACTGACTTGTCCCTTGGCTTACCTCCATGGGTGACTCTAGGCCACAGTCCTCACTGTTGGTGTGAGCCCTTCTGTGAGGGGGAGGTCACACCCACCATGAGCCGCGTCCATATCCGTCATCAGCTTTTAGCTTGTTCCTGGCTTGTTCGGGGGTCAGGTGGTCTCCATTGCACCCCTAAAACTGGGTGTGGAATTGAACTTGCAGGATTCTAGGCTAATGTCAAGCCCTGCAGCTTCTCAGCCCTGCTGAGTGTCCACACAGGTACCCACATTTCCGGTCACTTGACTTCTCTGTTTTCTGAGATAGGCTTTCCTAGAACCCCATGTTCTCCTCAAGTTCCCTCCTGATGCCAGGATGACAAAACACCTCACAGGCAGCAGTCTCCGCCTTAGCACCCGTATGAGGACGGGTGCTTGTCCACATACCCCAGCACGCAGGCCTATCAGCAGGTATGCTGAGCAAGCCGTACATGTCGGCCTGGAGCCATGGACAGGGTGAACACCGCCCAGCGGGACCCCTGTGCCTTGTCCTGCAGAAGGCAGGCCTAGCTTCTCAGAATTGACATGGACTATAGCTTGGTGGTCAGTGCTGGTCCAGCAAGACCCTGGATCGGGGTCTTTAATAGATCAGAACAGAACGTACCTTTGCTTCTCCTCCTGTGTGGAGGAATTAGTTACATGGGCAAGTCTGAGTGCTGAGGATGGTCTGGAAGTCCCTGCAGCCCTGTCCCCTTCTGCTCAGGCTGCCTGCAGCTCACTACCCTCTTGCCATCCCCAGCTGGGAAGAAGGCAAGCAGCCCTGTGGGGTTTCTTTTCTCGGTTTTTTGAGACAAAGTTTTCCTATGTAGCCCTGGCTGTCCTGGAACTAGCTGATCTTGAACTCAGATCTCGACTCTGCCTCCTGAGTGGTGGGATTAAAGGCATGTGCCACCACCAGCAGCTTAGGTACAGCCTGGTTTTGTGGGCTGTTCTGTCATTTGTAACTGTTTTAAGCTTGAGGTCACCTTGGGCATGCTAAGCCCTTCCTGTCACCCACTTCCAGTCAGCCTGGCAGTTGGGACTTGGTGTGTCTGATGGGCTGTACTGGACTCTGTCCTGCACGGAGCACCCCTGGGCACAGGCGCCAATGGAGGCTTTGGATCTGGTCTGTTCACTGCAGGTCTCCTGCCTCCTGGCAGCCTTTGGCCCAGTTCTCCTGGCTGCTTCCGTGCTGCCCCTGTCCCAGAGCAGAAGCCCCAGGCTGTTTTTACCAGTCTGACTCCAGGAGCCACTTCCTATGACCACGAGGAGGCTGTGATGCTCCTGGGTTCCAACTTGAGAGCCAGTGTGAGACAGGTCTAGGCTGTTACGCTGTGCTGTCGTGGCTGTCCTCCCACAGTGTCTTCTCAGTCCAGTGTCTGCCCTACTCTTCTCTCCCATTGGGACCTGCACCCTGAGGGTGGCCTCACCCTGGGGGATCCTGAGGCTCTGGTCCGGGCTGATTTCTTTTTCTTGTTCTTTTTCTTTTTAAGGTGTATTTATTATGTACATAGTGTTCTGCATGCTGAAGAGGGCGCCAGATCTTCTCATTACAGATGGTTGTAGATGGCTGTGAGCCACCATGTGGTTGCTGGGAATTGAACTCAGGACCTTTGGAAGAGCAGTCAGTGCTCTTAACCTCTGAACCATCTCTCCAGCTCCCCTACCCCGGCTTGATTTCTTTAATTGCTGCCCCTGTGCCAGGACACTGGCTCTGCTGCTTCAGAGTACAGCCAAGGCATGCTGCTGTCCCTGTCTCTTCCCACAGGCTCAACCGCAGGCCTCCAGGCCCGCCCTTCCTCAGTGCCTCAGCTGTTTGGTGTCAGTGTGGTGTGTGGGTGGGTGCACGCACAGAAGCCAGGGACAGAGTGCTTTGTCACCTTCCCTGCAGGGCTTGTGCCTGCACAGTAGGTGCTCCTACTGCCTTGTCTCTGGCCCGCTAGCCCAGGCAGGCCCTAGACTCGCAGCACTTCCTGCCTGTGTCCTGCACCTGGCTGTGGTTACTTCCTGTCTAGGGGCTGCTGTGAGCCACCTGTTGTATCCTGGTCCCCTCCTCTCACCTGCTCCTCACCCTCCATCCATTGTCTTTGGAATCCCAGGATTCCTGGGCCGTGGCCTCACCTCCCCTGTCTCCCCAGGAAGCAGGTCTTAGGGACCAAGGTGGACGCAGAGCGTGATGGCGTGAAGGTGCCTACCACACTGGCTGAGTACTGCGTGAAGACCAAGGCGCCGGCGCCCGACGAGGGCTCGGACCTCTTCTACGATGACTACTATGAGGACGGGGACGTGGAGGAGGCCGACAGCTGCTTTGGGGATGAAGAGGACGACTCTGGCACCGAGGAGTCCTGACCCGCGTCCCCAAAATAAACTTACAAATTTTACCTCAGCAGGACCCGTGTGGGCCTCAGGCGATAGACTACCTCACCGAGGTTCCATGTGGGCTCCCGTCCCGTGACCCTTAGGTCCTCTTACCCCGTGGTGCCTGGCAGATACCCCACTCAACTCACAGATGGTGACAAGCCTGGGAGGCTGGGAACCGCCTCGTGGGGAGGCAGAGACTCCATCCCAGCCCAAGCAGGGCCAGCCCCACAGTCACCTCCTCTCTGCTTTGGTGTGTGTGAAACCCAAATAAAATGGCTTTCTGAGAAGCTGGAGAAACAGCCAGGACGCCAGGGCAGTGGGCTGGGCAGGAAGAAGCATTTTTACTGGTCTGTTTATCGGGCTCAGTGGTCTGCGTGGGCTCCAGGCCGGGACGCAGCTCCCTGCTGCCTGCAGGTCATGCCCTCTACTGCTGGCACTGCAACTGCACCACCGGCCTGCGTCCACTTGAAGCCTTCAGTCAGGAGGCCTAGGCCTGAGGTTTGTGCTCTGGAAAGCCATGGATCCAGGGCATGTGGAGGGTCCATATTCCCAGCAGTCCTTGTGGTCCTGTGGCTGGGGGACTGAGCTGCAGCCTGGTGACTCCCCAAGAAAAGGGTAGCACCTTAGTCTTACTCTAACATGCCAAAGTATCCCCGTGCCGCGGTGACAGACCTGTCCTTTGTCTCCAGTGTGCTGGGGGTGGAACCTGAGGTCTCTCATGGCTTGTGGGTGCCATGCAGATAAAGGAAAGGAAGGCCAGGTGGCGGTGGGGCACCCCTTAATCCAGCACTTGGGGGGCAGAGTGAGTTTCCGGTCAGCCAGAGTGGTCACACAAAGGAACCCTGCTGAAAAAAAGAAAAGCAGCATTCAGTGCCCCTTCTCCATCGTAGGCCTCTATGCCCAGAGTTCCTGTCTCTGGAGCAGTAGTCTACTGAACTGTGCTTAAAGGGACCCGGCCAGTCACAGCTGGTCACAGAAGGACAAAGAAGTTTGTAACGGGAGGAGACTGGGGAGTTGGGGACAATTCACTTCTAGTTAACATGGTAAGAAAGTGGGAACTGGGGAGATGGCTCAAAAGTCCTCATTCGATTTCTCACAACCACGTGGTGGCTCACAACCATCTGTAATGAGATCTGCCCTTTCTGGGCTGTAGGCAGAAATAACAGGCAAGACACCAACCATAATAAATCTTTAGGAGAAAAAAATGTTAAGTAGGGGTGGGGGTGTGCACACTTTTAGTCTCAGCACTCTGGGACAGAGGCAGACTAATCTTGGTGGTTTCAAGCCAGCCCCAGTGAGTTCAAAGACAACCAGAGAGCTACATAGTGAGACTTTCCTCAAAAAAAAAAAAAAAATTAGGCCATCATCTGCTACACACAATTTGAAGCTAGCCTGGTCTCCGTAGAGATCAGGCCAGCCAACAACAGTGCTCAGTAAGTGAAGGCTTGCCACCAAGCCCGAGGACAGAAGTTTCAGTAAGGACCCATGTGGTGGAAGGAGAGACTTGGCCCTGCAAGTTGCCTCTGTGGGAGTTAGGTATCAGTCCGGCCAGAACAGTGCTAAAGGAAGCAAAAGACTTGTAAAAGCAACAGGGGAAGGAGCACTGGGGATTTGATGGCGGCAACCGTTGCTGTCCCCAGAGACACTTTCTAAAACCACCCAGAGCGGGGTGTGAGGGAGGAGCTGTCACTTGTACTAAGTGGGCGGGACTTAGAAGGCCACCTGTCCTCACAGAAAGAAAGTGGGGAGACACACCCCAGACCACACATCTGTGCCAGCATGGAGGTCCACCAGTCCCTGCTGCTCTTGCTAGCTCTGGAGATGCTGTGGGCAGGTGAGCATGAAGAGGAAGCCAGTCTTCAGGGGCCTGGGGATGGGAGAGGTCGGGTTGCCTACTGAGAAATCCCTGAGGAATAGCCTCTACAAAAAGCACTTGCTGAGTGAGGCAGGAGGATTGCCATGGGTTTAGGATATAGCTTAAGTTAGTGGGCCATGTGCCTGGCATATGCAAAGGCTGGGTTCCATCCTGAGATGACGCATGCCTGTCATCCCAGCACTGCGGGAGGAGACGGCAGGATTCAGAGCCACCCTCAGCTCTAGTGACTTTAAGGTGGGCTGGCTCTCCTGAGACCCTACTTTGAAAAAACAGCGGGGAAGGGGAGCGAGGGGAGCCCAACGTAGCAGCATCACACGATCATACGCCTTTCATCTCTGAACTCGGTTTGGCCAGGGCTACTTAGACCTTGACAAGAAGAGCCACCCCAACCGGGCAGTGGTGGCCACGCCTTTAATCCCAGTACTGGGGAGACAGAAGCAAGTGGGTCTCTGTGAGATGGAGGACAGCCAGTTCCAGACCAGCCAAGGCTACATAGTGAAAGCATCTTTAGGGGAGGACAACAGGTGATGCCTTCCGCCTACAATCCCAGCTCTAGAGCAGGAAGCAGGATCCCTGGGACTCAAGCAAGCTCAGGGAAAGACCTGGCCACAAACATTTAAGGTATAGCGTGTGGAAGACACCAAACTTGATCTGACCTCCATACACATGTGCACGTCCGCACATGTTCATGCACACACACACACTTTTGAGACGAGGGAGGTCTTAATATTGTAGTCCTGGCTGACCTGTTTGCCTCTGCCTCCTGAGGTGGGATTAGAGGTGTGGGTATGTGCCACCACCCTCCCAATTTTTTACACTCATAATTGTTTTGAACCTTCTAGAACCTTCTCCAAAGCAAAAAGTGGAGGAGGAAGTTGACTCTTTGCAAGTATAACAACTCTTCCTTAAGTTGCTGATTAGCCATTGGTCTCTGTGTGGTTACAACACAGTAACTTTGGAGAGTTGATGGAGATACAGTGTAGCTCAGGCTACACCACCGAACCTGCCTCAGTCCCAGACATGATTTTAAATTATGTAGTGGAGCTGGGCCTGTGCCTCAAAGGGCAGAGCCCTCACCCAGCATGTCCCACCAGGCCTTGTGCCAGCCTGTCCTCGCAGCACTGCGGAGGCGGAAGCAGGAGGACTGGGAGGTCAGGGTCACTCTCAGCTGTAGTCCCTGGCCAGCCTGGGGCTACATGAGACACTGTCTCAGAATAAAGTTAGTTTGTTTGTTTTTTCAAGGGGAAGAAAAAGAAAGCACACACAGGTGGGAGGCTTTCTTGAATGGTAGAAAAGCTACTCAGTTATGGCTGCTGACTGCAAGGCTCTGCAGATACAGGTCAGCCTTCAAGTGCGCACGCTGGCCCCATGAAATCACAAAGGTCTCTCTTTCATTTATGCTTAGTTTAGGTTTCTTTTTTTCTTCTTCCCACCTTTTTTTTTTGGCTTCCAGAATTGAGCTTGGGGGAGGTGGTGCACACTCAGGTGGATCTCTGTGAGTTCTAGGCCAGCCTGGTCTATGAGTGAGTTCCAGGGCTACACAGGGAAAACCCTGTCTCTATAAAATAAAGCTCAGGATTCATACATAACAGAGAACTCGGCTCTCTTCTGGGATGGGAACCAGCCCCAAGGAAGTAGTGGTGGGGCCGGAAAGGCTGTCTGGAGTAGGTGTGGACTGGCCATGTGGCTCAGGGCGCTGCAGGATCCTTAGGACATGATGGGAAATTTTGAGTTGGTTCACATTAAATTTTTTTTTAATATTTATTTATTTATTATGTATACAATATTCTGTCTGCATGTATGTCTGCAGGCCAGAGGAGGGCACCAGACCTCATTACAGATGGTTGTGAGCCACCATGTGGTTGCCGGGAATTGAACTCAGGACCTTTGGAAGAACAGGCAATGCTCTTAACCACTGAGCCATCTCTCCAGCCCCCCACATTAAATTTTTATCAATATTTATTTTAAATTTTGTTTTGTTTTCAGACAGAGTTTCTCTGTGAGGCCTGGCTGTCCTGAAACTAACTCCACAGACCAAGTTGGCCTTGAACTCAGAGATCACCTGCTTCTGCTTCCCAAGTGCTGGGATTAGAGGCATGTACCACCACCTCCTGGCTTAAATTGCTTTTTTTCTTTTTTTCTTTCTTTTTTCTTTTTCTTTTTTCTTTTTTTTTTTGTTTGTTTGTTTGTTTTTCGAAACAGGGTTTCTCTGTGGTTTTGGAGCCTGTCCTGGAACTAGCTCTTGTAGACCAGGCTGGTCTCGAACTCACAGAGATCCGCCTGCCTCTGCCTCCCAAGTGCTGGGATTAAAGGCATGTGCCACCACCGCCTGGCTTTTTTTTGGTTTTTGAGACAGGGTTTCTCTGTGGCTTTGGAGCCTGTCCTGTCTGGAGCTCTTGTAGACCAGGCTGGCTTCGAACTCACAGAGATCCGCCTGTCTCTGCCCTATTTTACATTTTTTTTTTTTTTGGTTTTTCGAGACAGGGTTTCTCTGTGGCTTTGGAGCCTGTCCTGGAACTAGCTCTGTAGACCAGGCTGGTCTCGAACTCACAGAGATCCACCTACCTCTGCCTCCCGAGTGCTGGGATTAAAGGCGTGCGCCACCATCGCCCGGCGCCTATTTTGCATTTTTTTTTAATTATTCTTTTTTTTTAATATTTATTTATTTATTATGTATACAATATTCTGTCTGTGTGTATGCCTGAAGGCCAGAAGAGGGCACCAGACCTCATTACAGATGGTTGTGAGCCACCATGTGGTTGCTGGGAATTGAACTCAGGACCTTTGGAAGAGCAGGCAATGCTCTTAACCTCTGAGCCATCTCTCCAGCCCCCCCTATTTTACATTTTTAACCCTGCTCCTGTCCCCACCTTTCCAGGCCTGGGATGACAGGCCTGCAGCACTAGACCTTGTCTCTGTGGTGTGGGGGGACTAGAACGCCAGGGCTTTGTGTGCAATGGGTAAGCTCTCCATGCTGAGCCCAGCCTGGCATCCTCGATCAACACATCTGTGAAGTTCATAGAGGAATAATCCACACGCTGCTCAGCTCACTGACGTTCAGAGCCACACAAAACTGTAGGCACTAGTTGGGCGGTCGTGGTACACGCCTTTAATTTCAGCACTTGAGAGGCAGAGACAGACATCTCTGAGTTTGAGGCCAGCCTCATCTAGAGAGTTCCAGGACAACACAGAGATACCCTGTCTCAAAAAAAGAAAACAAAAAAAGCAAACAAACAAAAAGAGTGTAGGCACCTCCACAACCCTAAGAACACCCACCCCCACACTCTGGCACCCACAAACCACTTCCTGTTATGAAGTTTCACACCGTGTGGCCTTTTGTGTTGGATTTTCCCCAGCACCGTGTCCTGAAGGTTGTTCCATTGATATGGCAAATATCAGAACCCACTCCTGTCCACTGGGAACAGAGGGGTCAGTCCCTCATCCATACTGCCCCCCCCACCCCCGTGGCTACCAGTAACCTTTCCTCTCATTTTGTGCTCTATTTTGTAATATGGGGTGGTGGTGAGTGCAGTGCTCTCAGAGCACAGAAGGGGGCGTCAGATCCCCTGAAGCTATGAGTCACCCGGAGTGGGTGCTGGAAACCGAGCCCAGGTTCTGTCTCCAGCCTGAGGAGCGTCTGGGACAGGGGACAATGGGGATTTCAGACCACAGTTCTGCCAGATTCAGGGCTTCCAGGCTCAGTGGAGGGTAGAGATGCAGCTTCCCTAACCTGCCCTCTCTCACTTCTCAGCAGGTAACACATTTGAGACCCACATCATTGGGGGTCAAGAGGCAGTTCCACACTCTCGCCCGTACATGGCCTCTCTACAGAAATCAGGGTCCCATGTGTGCGGAGGAGTTCTCGTGCATCTAAAGTGGGTGTTGACGGCTGCCCACTGCCTGTCCGAACCGTGAGTATCCCACCCCCTCCCCCAAACCTCCAAAGACTCTGGCCAACCCTCTGAGGGATAAGGCTGTTGGTTCTGGTGTGGAAAGGATGGCTCCTTCCTGTGACCCCTAACAACCTGCCAAGGAGACCAAGTCTGCGTAGCAAGAACTGCCATGGAGACATCACTAAATACATCCATCCTGAGAGGGATGCACCCTGGGAGTGCCAGCCTAATGCCAACTCTCATCTTCAACACTAAAGGAAAAAACCCTGAGCCCTGAGCAAAAGGAAGGGGCCCTTATGTGTGCTTTAATCCCAGCCTTCGAGGAGGCAGAGGCAGAGGCAGAGGCAGGGGATCTCTAAGTGATCTACATAGTTCCAGAAAAGCCAGGACCAATATTAAGATTTATCTTAAAAACAAAACAAAAAACCCGAAGTTAGCTCTTGTATTCCAGAAGTCTAGGCCTCGGGCGTGGCTTCATCCAGGTATTCCCTTGAGGGTCTCTCTCACCTGGCTGCAAGCGAGGACCCCTGATTCTTGTGGAAAGAGGTTATTTCTCTGTTGTTTGGATAGATGCAGGAAGTCTTCAGAGTCTCCCCATCTGGCGCTGGGCAGGAGCCGGAGCAGGAAGTCTGGGGTAGGGGGTGGGGGTAGGGGGTCCGTGAAGATGGAAGACGACCTGCCAGGAGTGGGCTGGGGAGGATGCTGTGGGTGTGGGGAAGGAGGAACGACAGCTCTCAGGCTGCAGGCGGTTGTGTGCAAGCCGAGTTCTGCATTGCAGGGTACAGCAGCTGAAGCTGGTGCTAGGCCTGCACCACCTCCATGACTTGCGAGATCCGGGCCTCACCTTCCACATCAAGGCAGCCATCAAGCATCCTGGCTACAATGACAACTATGAAAACGACCTGGCGCTGTTAAAGGTGCAGGATGGAGGGCCTGAGGGCTTGCCATGGCCCGACTTCCCTCAGACACTCACTGCCCCTCTTGTCCCCACAGCTGGATGGACGGTTGCGGCCCAGCAGGAATGTCCAGCCGCTGGCTCTGCCCAGAAAGAACCAAGCCAGGCCGGCAGAAGGTGCTCAGTGCAGCACCGCTGGCTGGGGAAGGACCCACCAAGGTGGGCCTTTAGCCCGCGCCCTGCAGGAGTTGGAGCTGCGTGTCCTGGACACCCGCATGTGTAACAACAGCCGCTTCTGGAACGGTGCCCTCGAGGAGGGCATGCTGTGCTTGGCGGCGGCAGCCAGGAACCAGGCGCCCTGCAAGGTGAAGGGGACTTGCAGGCTTGGGCAGCAACTCAAGCTGGCTTCTGACACCTTCAGTGGGGCGAGGTGGGGGTAACACTCATCTCATTTCTCAGATGCAGAAACCGAGGCTCTGGGAGAGTAAATACACTGTCTAGGTTAGAAGTCAGGAGGAAGCCAGAGAATTGTGGTTTGAAATCCAGCCCACAGACTAGTCACCTAGGCCCAGAGCAAAGGCCCTGGGGTAGAAAGGAGAAGAGAGAAAAGGGGAAGGAAGACAGGAAGGCAAGTATGCACCGTGGCTTGTAAACCCAGGGCATCCCAGGCCCCTGGTCCACTCCACAGGCACAAAAACTCATCCATATCAATCACCATCAACAGGGCGACTCCGGAGGACCCCTGGTGTGTGGCAGAGGCCAGGTGGATGGGATCCTGTCTTTCAGCTCCAAAAGCTGCACAGACATCTTCAAGCCCCCTGTGGCCACCGCTGTAGCCCCCTACATCCCCTGGATCAGGAAGGTCATCCGTCGTTGGCCTGATGACCAGGACACGCTCGCTGACTAGGGTGGGGAGGGACTAGGTGTACCTCTGAGGACCAATAAATGATGATGTATCTGTTAAATCCAGCCCTGTCTGCCTCTGACCTCCGTAAGCCTCCGTTTTCTGGTGGCTAACACCGGCCTGCCTGCTGGGTGCCAAGGCAAGAACAATGGCAACAGGTCTGCCAGCAGGGGGCGCCAGCTGCCCTCTGCAGCTCTCCCATGAGCTGGCGAGATGGGGAGGCTCCACACAGAATCCCCAACACAGCAGCTAAAGGGTCGTTCCAGTGGGTGTCAGCACATCCAGCATCAGTTCCAGAACATTCCACCCTAAAACAGCCCCATCTTCTTGAGAGGTCTCTCCAATCCCCTCCTAGGCACAGGGCATTGTCCCTCTCTGGGTTCTCCTGGACATCTCCTGTCGTGTGGTTTCACACTGTGTAGTCTTTGTATCTTCAGGGTCCATCCAGACTGTGGCCGGTATGGGATCCTCCCTCTTCTGACTACCTGGTTTCCTATGACAGAAAGCGGATCAGCCAGAGAGAAATCATCACCACGGGTGTGTAAAATACGTTCACAACAAGGGTGCCTGGGAAATCTGTCACTCGTCACTCAGCCCTTACCTGTCCTCCCTGAAGTTGAGGGCTGAGGCAGGAGGATTGCCTCCATTTCAAAGTCAACCTGTGCCATATGACACCCTGTCTCAAAAGTGGGGGTAAGCTATCTCTACAGCCTGCTCCCAGAATATTCTTTTTTCCCCTTGAAATAGAGTGTCGCGCAGCCCAGGCTGGCCTAAAACTCCGGCATCTAATGTAACTGAGAATGACCTCCTGACAACCTCTTCCAGGCCTGGGTGCTGGGGTAGCAGCCATGTTGTCTCTGCTGCCGCTCACACCCACCTGACCTCTGTGCTGGGGGAGCGTGCTCTGCTTAGCTGTTCCCCTCATTTCTGTCACAAAACAGCTTTGCAAGAACAGGAAGTCTGAGAAAGGCCAGCCAGAAGTCAGAGGGTGGAATTACAGCCATGAAGCTCAAACGCCTTTGGGCGACTTATTTTCCACTCTGCACTTTGTCCCAAAATGCTGGATTGACTCAGCCTTGTTCTCTGCCTTGCCCCAGGGACATCCCTCCTGCCTCACCTGGCTTCTGGACTCTGGGTGGCCCTGGCACCGTAAAATAGGTTTCAAAGGTATCAGCAGATTAACTTGGTTTTATAGGTGAATGGCAGGGAAAACAAAGCTGGGGTGGTGCCGGCGCCGGCACACCTAGGATCCCAGCCCTCAGAGGCTGAGGTGGCCAGGGCAAGGATTGCACCTCAGGCCGGGCTGTGTAGCCAGAGCGCACCAGCAGGGTAGGGTGGGAGTGGGGGGACTGGAGAGATGGCTCAGAGATTAAGAGCACTGGCTGCTCTTGCAAAGGACCTGGGTTTGAAACCGAGCGCCCACATGATGGCTCACTGACCACTTGTGACTCAGTTTCCAGGGGCTCAGACACCTCCTGTCCTCTGAAGCCCCCTCCCCAAAATAAAAGTAAATCTTAGAAGAAGAGGAGGGTGGGAGGGTTGTGAAGGGAATGGGAGGAGGGGAGGGAGTGGGAATTTGGATTGGTGTTTTAAAAAATCTAATAAAAAAAAAAAAAGAAGAGGGAGGTAGAGGCCTGAAGCTTAGGGATTTGAGGCCTCCCTGGGCTACACGCGGAGACCCTGTTATCCCGCCTCCACCTCCCCAGCAACAGGCACGGCCTGTTCTGAACTTTGGATGACTGGGGTAGGCCGGCACTCAGATAATCAGCTTCCACTAGCTTTCTCTTTCTGTTTATTTTTCTTTTTATTTATATGTTTGTTTTGATTTTTTTGTGACAGGGTCTCTGTAGCTCTGGCTATCCTGTAATTCCCTATGGAGACTCACCTGGCCTCAAACTCATAGAAACAGCTCCTGCCTATGCCTCCCTAGCACCTGGATTAAAGGAGCACACACCACACCCGACTCTTGGTCATTTCTGCGAGGACACCTTACTCTGTCCCAGGGTGACCTTGAAAATCCTTGGTGATCCTGTGCCTCCGCCTTCAGAGTTTAGGGAGTCTAGAGTGCGAGCTGCCAAGCCCTGAGCTCATCTTCCTGGGACGTTTGTGCTATCTCTGGCCGTTCACGAACAGCCCTTGAAACCCTGGGTTGTGTGTGCAAGTTAACCTTCGGTATCAACAAAAGTTGTTTTAGTTTTGTCGGGGGTTTTTGTTTGCTTATTTGTTTTTGGGGTTTTTTTTTTTAAAGATTTATTTATTTATTATGTATACAGTATTCTCAGTACTTTGCCTGCAGGGCAGAAGAGGGCACAGATCTCATTACAGATGGTTATGAGCCACCATGTGGTTGCTGGGAATTGAACTCAGGACCTCTGGAAGAGCAGCCAGTGCTCTTAACCACTGAGCCATCTCTCCAGCCCTGTTTGTTTTTTGAAACACGTCTCTCAGTAGCTATGGAGCCTGTCCAGAACTCACTCTGTGGACCAGGCTGGGCTTGAGCTCCCAGAGATCCCCCTGCCTCTGCCTCCAGAGTGGAGTGCTGCGATTAAAGGTGTGCCTGACTGTTGTTTTGTTTTTTGAAACAGTTTCTCTGTGTAGTCCTGGCTGCGCTGGACTCTCTCCACAGGACAGACTGACCTTGAACTCACAGGGATCCGCCTCCAGAGGCCTCTACTGAGACCTGAAATGGCTAGCCTGGCTGTCCAGTCATTCCCAGAGATCTGCCTTTCCCTCCCTTCCAGCGCTGGGATTTCCAGCCCTCGATGCCACTTCAAATCCTCTACAGAGCTGAACCCAGACCCTCGAGTTTGTACAACAGGGATTTTACCAGTTTCCCAGCCGGCCCAGCTCACTCTAGGTTTTCTCCCGCTGATTAACACCCTTGAGGCTGAACTGTGTGGGGGCACAAGCGGAGCCAGGCAGAGCTCTGTGAGTGTGAGGCCAGCCCTGGTCTACAGAGAGGTTCCAGGACAGCCAGGGCTACACAGAGAAATGTTGGAGGAGGCCGTTAGTTGGTTCCCAGCCACTTAGCCCCAAAATAATCACACAGAAACTGTATTAATAGAATCACCGCTCGGCCCATTAGCTCTAGCTTCTTATTGGCTAACTATTACATCTTAGTTTAACATATCTCCATTCATCTGTGCATCACCACGAGGTCGTGGCCTGCCAGCAATGTTTCAGCACATCTGTCTCCAATGGAGGCTCCATGGCTTCTCTCTGACTCCGCCTCCTTTCTCCCAGTTTAGTTTTCCCTGCCTACCTAAGTTCTGCCCTATCAACAGGCCAATGCAGTTTCTTTATTCCCCAATGATACTCACAGCACACAGAGGGGAATCCCATATCAGAGAAACCCTGTCTTGAAAAACTTAAAAAAAAATTATTGAAACTTTTACCCATAAACCCTTATGACCCTTCCCAAGGATGTGGTGGCCTTTGTCCCTGACTATACCTCTAGCAAGATTGGTAAGGCGTAAGAAGGAAGTGGCCAGCTGGATCTCAGCCACCAGCATGCTCACAGCCTGCTGCACTTCCTCTCTGCCCTCAGTCCCTTCGCAGGGTTCTGGGGCGGCTCCAACTGGACACAGATCAAAGGGGCCTGGCCTGTATGTGACAGGCAAGATGTTTACTAGTGTTATCCAAGCCTTCTCAGCTGTCCCACCCAACCCCAAGAAGAGCAGGAGGCCAGGGGCTTATGAAGAGCCAGGCCCCCTCTGCAAACAAGAAAGAATATGGAGACCGGAGTACTTGCCCTACCCAAGTAGTGCAGACCCATGTGGCTTTTCTCTCCTTCCTTTCCCTCCCTCCCCCCACTGGAGGAAGAATGAGCTCTGTTGCCTCCTCTGCCCTGGCTCGAGCTCGCAGTGATCCTCCTGCTTCAGCTTCTAGTGCTGGGGTGGCAGACATGAACCAGCACAGCCTGGTTCCCCCAGGACAGCACTGGACATCAAACCGACCCCTCAGATCCCGACTTGCAGCGGAGTGGAAACAGCCAGGCTGAGTGTCTGAAGTGGCTGGGACAAGGCCTGTGAGGCATGACAGGATTCCAGAGATGGCACACTATGGAAGACAGAAGAAGAGCCAAGGAGAAGATCACCCTGCCACCGCTAGCAGCTGTCCCAGGCTGTGAGCAACGATCGATCACAGAACACAGAAGGCCTGGCCCTTAGGATCAGAGCCTGTGTGCAGCCAGCATGGTGTGCATGCCTGCTGTGGGGACTGCATGTCTGTCGCCCTGATGAAACAAGACCAAGGCAACTTAGGGAAGACAGTTCCAGGCGGTTAGAGTCCGCTGTGGTGGGGCAGCATGGCCCTAGGTGGCAAGCGTGGCGGAAGGAACAGAAGCTGAGAGCTCACACAGTGAACCACAAACAGAAAGCGCCAACTGAAAATGGGGTGATATAATTCCTCCAGCAAGGCTGCACCTCCTACCTTCCCAAACCAGACCCGAGGGTATGGGGACATGTCAGTCAAACCACCACATGTCATCGCTGCATTTGAGAGAAGGGGTTCTATTCCCAGAACCCACAAAGTGGCTCACAAATCTCTGTAACTTCAGTTCTAGACGATTCACTGCCCTCTTCTGGCTGCACTGGTAACTGCATCCATATGGGGCACACATATATATATGCAGACACACACAAAATAAAACCAAATAAACCTCATTTATACATGAATATATAATAATAAAAATAATTTAAGCCAGGTGGTAGTGACCCATGCCTTTAATCCCAGCACTTGGGTGAAAGAAGCAGGAGGATCTCTGTGAGTTCAAGGCCAGCCTGGTCTACAGAATGAGTTCCAGGACAGCCAGGGCTACAGAGAGAAACCCTGTCTCGAAACTGCCCCCCATCCAAAAAAAAAATTAAAAAAATTAAGCATTCTTGCCGGGCGGTGGTGGCGCACGCCTTTAATCCCAGCACTCGGGAGGCAGAGGCAGGCGGATCTCTGTGAGTTCGAGACCAGCCTGGTCTACAAGAGCTAGTTCCAGGATAGGCTCCAAAACCACAGAGAAACCCTGTCTCGAAAAACAAAAAAAAAAAAAAAAAAAACTAAAGAAAAATTTAAGCATTCTTATAAAAGTTAAAAAAATAAACCAGGTGTGGTGGTACATACCTTTATTTTATTTATTTGTTTGTTTGTTTGTTTGTTTTTTACAGGCAGGGTTTCTCTGTAGCTTTGGAGCCTGTCCTGGAACTAGCTCTTGTAGACCAGGTTGGCTTCGAA